AAAACTCTTGCTAGCTCAACTGGTAAAACTAGGAAACTTGAGAATACTGTGCCATATAAAAGTCAAGTTCAAGCTTTGACAGTTTAACTAGTAAAATTTGATAACAGTTATTGTCATGGTTAGTAGTCTAAATGATCACCCAAGTCTAATTATTAACTATTTGCTAATTATGCAAGTTTAATATAATATTATTTTTTAGTGTAATAAGATTGTTCAAAGGACTTCACAATCCAGGGAAGGGGCAGTGTTGTAGGCTATATCTTTAATATATTAATTTAGGTATTATCTTTTGTTTGTTAGAAAGAAATAAGGTGCATGGTATGGTTATGATGTGTGATGCCTGGAAATTTCTTAGTGTTTTGCTTTGATGGGAGGTTTCAAATTTTTGAGTTTGCATTGTAAATACAAGAGAACATTTAACAAGTAAATGACTGTTGTTCTATTTGAGAGTTAGGCCTATTGTAGAATAATTCATGAAACTATACAACTTACATAATGTAAGTTATAAAACTTTAATATAAGATCAGTATTCATCTGTAAGAACACTCACCAGTCACCAATCCCAAACATTTTCTGCATAAAAATGCTATCTAGTAAGTAAAAATTGAGCTAATTCTGTAAATAGTTTTCAATTCACATACTAAATCACTAGAGAGAATGGTCTAGATCACTTCTGTGATTAAGCCTAGGTCTACAGTAATGATCTGGCAGTTTCCAGAATTTCTTTATATATATATATATATATATATCAAAGATGAGCATTCACTACTGCAGTTTGTGTTGTCCTGTAATGCTTTGACAACTAAATCATTCCCTATGATACTAACGGGGAGTATGGTTATCTAGCAAAACTGGACAATATTATGATGATAAAAAAGAACATTTTAGCCAAAGCTGAAAAAGAATAGGGTGTGTAATATCATTAAGCAATTCCAGAACAACAAAAGACTGCCTGTTTGACCCCCCCCCCTCCCCCCAAGGCACAAAAATGCAATGCCAAAAGGGATAATGGGCAGGGATTATATTTTGCAGCATCTCTTGAAAGAGCAATTACTATGTCAAATAAGGAGTCAAGCCTCTAAAGATTTAGGGCTGGAGAAGTGCAGAGACCAAGACTCAGATTATGAACATGATTATTTTAAAATCAAAATCTCTGGCTAAAGCAGAGACCAGAGATCCAAAGTCAAGCTTTGAGTAGCCTATAAGCTTACTACAAAGAACATCTGTCTTCTTCTCAAGATGCAGAGAAAAGTACTTGCAGGATATTATGTGCCCTTGTATGTTTAATCTTTAGCTTCGTTATGTGAGAAATAAAAGTTTACTATCAAGAATGATTCATAAGAACTTTGTTTCAACATTATCAAGCAAATCTCTTGCTCTGCATGCAAATATAATTGGCAGCAGAAATGCAAACAAATGATTTTTAAATACAGAAAATTGCTTACTTAAGTCCACTCAGATATTTAGACAGAAACCTTAAGGTCATAAAGGCCAGGGGATGGCAGCCCTTTAAAGAAGAAGAGACATTTTTTTGGTATTTTCCTAAGACTAAAACATTTTGAGAGCTGCAATATGCCCTAATGTTCTAACTTAAAAAAAAAAGAAAAAAGAGTCCCCCGGTGTAACAGTGATAAGTCTTCAGATTTACAATGCTAAAATCAGGGGTTCAATTCCCCTCAGTGGACACAGCGGACAGCTGAGAGCCACACAAATCTCCTTAAAGAGCCACAGGTTGTCATTCCCTGATATAAGCAGTTTGAAACAGATGGAGAAAACTGTTGCATAATAGCATTAACTTTGATGTAAAAATATAAAACTCAAAATACAACCTCAAAATGTGAAGACCTTTAAGGTCTTATTTTCTGAAATGTTATAAATATAAATGTATAAAATGATCACCAACCCATAGGACTAAATGAATGTCTCATTAAACACCATACTTGCATGTCTAAATCATATGCCTTTTCTAGGTATAAAGAAACAAAAGACAGATGGACCAGTTGCTCTTTGTTAAGAAAGGTTTTTATGATAAAACATTTGAAGTCTCATCAGATTACCTATGATGGGTTGAGTGTAAGAAACACAGCGAAATAGAATTATTTAATTCTTGGAACCAGAAATCTAGGTACTAACCAACCTATTAAACACTTTAAAAAACAGTTAGTCAAAGCTATATGCATATAATTAGGATTTATGCAATCGTTCCCAAGTTTTGGAAAAGTGATACAATAACCCTATATTTCAAGTCAAATCACCTACTGCCAGGTGGCATTAAAACCAAAAAAAGAAAAAAAAAAAGAGTAAGGCAGAAAGGAGATGGTGCAATACCTAATCTAAACATACGTTGATCCAACATATATAATGCACATTATTGCAGTGTTCATTGAAGCGACAGCTACATAAATAGTTTGTTATAATCCTCCTGGATGCTTTCTTTAATACAATTCTGAGAAAAACACACCCCAAGGGTATTAGTAATTTCTGGGAAATTAGCTAACATGTAATCACTGGAAAATGAAATAGAAATGTGATGGGATTACTCTTTTGTATCTCATCCCAAATTATCTTTGAACAGGTGGAAGAAGAATAGAGAATTTAATTTTACAAGTCTCTCTGAAAATGTCTGCAATATGATTCACTGTATCTGGGTTCAAACATCACAAAATATATTAGGGTTGGAAATAATGGGGTGTCTGTGGAAGATACTACAAGCTCTATTCTGGGCCTAATGAGTATGCTGCATGCAAGAGTTTGTTCACCAGATGAACATGGAATCAGAAATGTGTTCATTTCTTCTGTGTAGTAGTTTAAGAAAATGCAATCAGTCAGGGCCTCAACAGTGCCTCATTAATAGACTGCTGACCACCAATGGTAGGATCAAGTTCCAAAGAAGTGCTACAGGAAGGCTAATCATCTTTCTTCAGTTACTAAAATGGCACTTAATTAATATGGGACTAAAAAATAATTGAAAAATATTACTATGGATCAATTATCATCTTTTTTCCAAGAAGATGAAGCAAGAAGACAAGGACAACAAGTGAAGTGAATAAATGCACTGTAAAACTGATTTTACATGATGGCAACAGAGCTCAAAAGGAGAGATATTATGATCAAGAGTAGGTACTACAGAACTACCAAAGAAGGCCACATTCATTGAAGTCTTCAACAATAATAAATGGAGATCATAGCTAATATTTCAGGTTGTCAAGATAAATCTGATCAATATTTTCTCCAGGTAGCAAATGCATTTGCAGGGTGTAAGAAAGTCTCCTGTACAGAGATATAAGTAGGTTAGTAAAAACTGATAACAGCCTTGATGTTATTTAGATCACTGTTTCTCAAACTTTTTACATTGTGCCCCCCTTTCTTCTCTGTAATAGTTTGCTCCCCCAAAAAAACAAAAAAATGCAACAAATTTAAACCATGTGTGTGTGTGTGTGTGTGTGTGTACAGCCAATGGTACTACAGTTTACCTACATCTGAAGTAAGAAACCAATAACAAAAGACTGCCTTTTTAATGCAATTACAATTTGTAAAAAAAATTACTCACAGAAGACTTAAAAAAGTTTTGTATTGTGATATTAGTAATCAGAATATAATTGTAAGATTATGATTCAATATCACTTTTTTATGCTTATGACTGACTTCTGTTTAATGTGTTTAGAGAAATTTGTCAAGAAGGAGCTTACTTCCTTTGGTCCCTCTATCTCTTGGTGATACATTTGAAACCTTTCTTCTGAAATCAAAGGTTCACTTAACTATATTCATACCTTTCATTAAAAAATTCAGTTTGAACAATACTTTAAAATTGTTGAAGCCTTCAGGCATTATTAAAAAATAGTGTGTACTTTTAATTGTTGTTCAAATTGAGTTTTTAATAAACATCTTACACAAGTATTATGTTCCTAGTGTTTTTAATATTCATAGCTGTTATACTTGAAGATTCTTTAAAAAATTCTTTTAATCTTAAATTTTATCTCAGTTTTGTCTAACTCATGTACAGTTTGATGACTTATAAAAAGACAGTTAAAAGACCATCTCTAATTAAACATCTAAGTCAATTAAAGAATACAGCATCAGTTTCCTTCACAGACTTTAATAATTTTTATTGCTGCAAATACTACATACACATTATATATCTAAAATACTGCTCAAAGGCTACAAGTTTTCTTTATAGTATGACAATATTAAAAAAATATCCCATTTTTCATAGAATTATAACTTAAATGAAAGTACATGAGATATTACAATACTACAAAACTAGACAATTCTCCATAGAACACTTTACCAGGTGTGGGTTAAAAACAAAATTATGTATTAGTCTTTTGGTCAGTAACATGTGCCCTATTAAAACAGTTATATTAATAGTTAACCATATATATATATGTAAAACATTTTTGTGAGTCTTGCTCAATGATATAATTGTATCAAGTCTGTGTTCAGTGTACATTGCTTGACTTAGTTTTAAAATACATACAAGTGTATACAAATCTACAATGAAAAAAGTTTTAAAATAATAAAAAATCCTTAATATTTGCTGATTTTTATTAAAAGATAATAATGGCAGCTTAAAAGTTTAAGTATTAAAGTGAAATTTATGTCTAAAAACTGTTAATTGTTTACTGTTTAAAAACAGGATTAGTTTAACAATAACAGCTGATTACAAAAGAACCTCTTTGTTTGTGAGTGATATTATGTGGGCCTACCTGTATCAGCAAGTTATATTGAAATAAGTACACACTAGACAACTGAACACCATAAAACATTAAGAATAGCATTACAAAACATCCATATGATAAATAAAACATATGCAACATTGCATTTACTTTAATTTAATAAGCACACACTTTTATTCATACAACCTTCCCTCCCTCCATCACATAGGAATAGCCCAAACATTAACTCTGAAGTTCAACTATGAAACACACTGTATCTACTTTCAAAACCTTTGATAATTCTATTATATGTAATATTTTAGAACAATAAGCAAAAAAGGATACAGTTTAATAACGTCTGTGTCCATTCGCCTTTTCCCTGAACTCGGTGAAGACATCGTTTTCTCAACTAAAGGCAAAAAGAACAGTGCATTATCTTTCTCAACCAACAAATGCTACCTTCGTTAGGCTCGTCAACCACTATGGCGAAACGCCAAACTCCGCTTGACGTCATTAATATATTTTTATTTTTCACATTTTTTCTTATAAACAGAAATAGTTTATGTCAATAAAAAGTGTTCTTGCCATGTAAATTTGTATAATGTTTATATTTTAATACATAAATGAGGGCAAAATGATATAAATATACTATATTATATCCTTGAGGTCGTCCCTAACAATTTGATTGACATAATAGCGACCAATCATAACATTAGGTCCATCAGCTGATCGTAGTAAACAAACTGAGTCTGGATTTCAAGACAGCATGACGAATTTTAGACATGAACGTGCACGAAGTTTTCGTAACGAGATGAATAAAACATATTCTAAACCTAACAGAAGAGCTTCGGATTTGCATCTTACTGATATTTTCTTGTTGCATAATAATAAGCAATGGTAATAGTTTTGTCAACATAATAATTAATTTATATAATATTAACACAGCTTTTTAATGATAATATTATAATAAAAAGTGTTTTATATCAAGTCACTTTTCCAAGTAATGGTGTATGTTATTTTAAGACTAGTCATTTTTAGTTCTAGACTTAACATGTTGAATTCTAAGTGTTTTACGCACAAATAACACGTCTCAATCAAAACAAGTACATACACTACGTCACATATTTTCATATGTTTTATTCATATAAATGTAATCAAAAATACACACAAAATGAAAAGGAATAATACACTTTCATCTCCTACTTTCCAAGTTTGCTTAGTATTTATCAATTTTATTTCAATATTTTCAGTTACATCTGTGTAGAGCTCGCAGAGTACCTGAACCTGAAAGTACTATTATTCCAGAACGACTAAAGTCTAAATAAAGATAAGTTTTACTTTAGTGCAGTAATTAAAATGATTTAAGTTTGTTTTTGATGTGTTTTTTTTTTACATTGTCAGTAACTTCTTTGTGATGGAAAATGCATCAAATTATGTGCAATAGTGCTGACTAACTGTAACCCTCATCACATGATGTCGAATCAAGGCTAATGGCAGGAGCAGAAACAAATACTAATACCCAATCCAAGGTTAAATTTTCCAAATTCGTTTTGTGATGTTTGAGACAAATAGAGGCGAATTACACAAAATTTCTTGAATAATGATTCGAATAAGTTCTATAATTTTGAGGTGTCACTTTGGCAGAATCCACCGTGATTTAAAGACCAGTCTTATTAAGAGACATTTTATTACGGTTATTGAAGGTTAATACATGCTTATAACGTTATTAATAATCTAGAAATTTAAAACTGTGTAGTAGCTTTAACAAAATGAATAACATATATTATCTTCAGGTGTACTATGATAATGGAATATGATGTAGGCTATGTTTCTTAATTTAGGTGTTTGTATTTTTTCTTTGCTAAAGGCTTTTTTATGCACGTAGTTAAATAATTACAACTTTCTTCAAAGTGTAGGAAATGATATAAAATGCAAATTAGCATCTATTTGAATTTTAAATCAGTTAAAGTGGAGGATAAAAAAGGATAATAAATTGAAGGAGTTTGGTTATTAGGAAGTTTATTAGTCAGTTTATCAGTTACAAGAAGATCAACAAGTAAGTGTGACTGTGTTAGCGTCTGTTGTGAATTTAGACCTAGCAGTGAACATACATAAAGCTAACTTGTATAACTTGAAATTCAAGAAATAAAACGCTTTCTGTATCATTAAATGGCCTGAACTTTACATTCAGTAGGAATCGTTACAACAGCTGTGTTAGAAGAAGGTGTATTTAGGTAATATATATATATATATATATACAGGAATCCCTCGATTAGTGCGGTTAATGTGTTCTTTAAAAGAGCCGCACTAATCGAAAACGCACAAATCGAATATAATAACTTATAGGAAAATCGTGTAATTCGTACCTCAATTTTCATTCTCATTCTCAATTAATTTCTATTTTGCGTATTTTTTAATCAAAGTATAGGTATATAAGAAAATACGAAAAAATGCAATGAATTAAAATTTATTGATCTGATTTTTTTTATGAAAAACTTATTTAGAGTGGCTTATCGCATCGTATTCTTCTGTTCTTCATATATTTGGCGGTACTGAGAAATTGCCTCATCAATTTTTCTGTAAATTTGACGGCTTCTATTATCATCAGAGTCTGTTTCTAAACATTTTCCCTTAAATTCTTTAATAACCATGAAAAAGTCTTCTAATTCCTTCTTCGTCATCTTCTTATGCTCGCGGGTAGGTAAGATTTCTTCACATTCATCAATGTCTTCATATGCTCTCTGAGTGTCCAAATTTATAAGATTCTTATTGGTTAGTTCTTCTGAATGAGCTTCTAGCT